AATATACCCCAAAACCCTATTGTAACAATTACGGCCCCTACATTATAGGGTTCAAGTCTTTAGCTTCTACCATCGCCACAGGCTCCGCAAGGGAATCGTTTGGCAGGGGCCTTTGGCGGATGCCTCGGAAGCGCAGCCGGGAAGCTCTTTGGCCCGGTTTAGGGTTTAGGGTTTGTCAGTGGCCGTATGTCAGATGGACCCTATAAATACTCCCCACTCCCCACTCCCCCCCGAAACGTTTCGTTAAAATCCTTAATAACCCAAACCCTATACCCAAAGCAGCTCAGTTGGTGGATCAACAAGGCCGTAGGCAGCTGCAATCTAAGGCTCCGGGGCCTATGGATGCTTCGTTGGAAGGCCATCGATCTCCATGGATACGCTCGCGTTTCGAGGTGTATGAGGTGCTGTCAGGGGAAGCTGCGGCGCTCATGATCAAGGGCTAGACTAGGAGGGCTCAGGGTTAGGGTTTAGGGGGTTTAGTGTTTAGGGGTTTAGGGTTTAGGGAGTATCTGGCATTGCATGTGAGCAGCGATTGCTCAGCCAGCGACGTGAGACACTTTGTTGGCACATGAAAGCCGAAGCATCTATTCGCGTACCTGCTGCTGGCTGATGCGCATTTTGCTCGTACCATAAGCCTGGCAAAATGCCAAGCGGTTGTTCCAAACAAGGGTCCCAATGCGGGGAAGGACCCAGCATCCCACAGGCTTCCGAATTCGATAAGCCCTGCAACCTGCCCGCTTAGCAAGAGTGTCGGAAAACGAGACAAACCTGAACATTCTACCATCGCCCCCCCCCATTCTCACCCGAGAATCCTTGATCACCATCCACCATAAGAGCTAAACCGTAAGCACTTGTAGACCATGCCTCCTCCTGAACGCCTCCAGGCTGCAAAAATGCATGAAAATAATTCATGAACAGATACATACATACGTGTGCATATATATATATACATTATATGGGAAAAACTAACTAGAAGTATATAGGTGTGTGCACACATGCAAATTAGGTGCAAACATACGTACCTATCTAGGTACATGAGTATATACACATATGTAGACCCGCCACCCCCTGAAACCTCACACAAAGCACGTGTAAGGTGTAAGGACCAAGCCGTGGTTGGGTACGTAGCCCTATCCAGAGGCCTTAAAGTAGTTCCTTTTTGGGGTTCATATATAGAATCCCATAAGGTAATCCCAAAAAGGAACTACTATGGGGCCTATGGGTAAACCCTAAACCCCTAAACCCTAAACATCAACGGTTCCGGGCAGGGACCTTACTTGCGTCCGGAGCTGAGTCTGCTTTAATATGGGGGCCTCAATAATTACCTATACTATTCGTGGGAGTTCCGTATTTTAATTCTAGTAGAAAGGATCCCAAAACCCTATTCTAATTATTCAGGCCCCTATATCTTACACATGTCTATCCAGTTCCAGGTCGCAGCGAGATGATGACTCAGCAATTAGAATTGCAGTAGGGACAGTTATCGGCAGGTGACGCTTCCCTAAGGTGTAGCACAACATTTTAGCACTTTCTCCTCAGTCCATGATTCCCACATCCTTGACCCCAACCCCTAAACCTGCAAAAAATGGTGAACCATTACAAGCCTTTCAAGCTCGTCATCTTTTAAGCCCCAAGCCCTTAAACCCTAAACCCTAAACCCTGAAGCCACGGAACCTCAAACCCGAAACCCTGAGGCACTGCACCCAAGACCCCCAAACCATATACCTAGAAACTCAAGCGAATGAAACACAAACTTACCCCGACTATCAAACGAAAGCCCTTTAAGTCCTCCTCATGTGATCAACCGTAAACCATAACTCCAACTCATTTGATCAACCGTAAACCCTAAAGTTTAGGGTTTAGGGTTTAGGGTTTAGGGTTTAGGGTTAATTCTACTCATTTGTTTGCAGCACGCGCCCGCCGGATGTTTATCTGCTCAAGCCGGCCAGCTGCCTCGCGAGCCATTGAGCCATCGGAGCCAACAGCAGCATCCTTGTCCTTCGGGGATGGAGTTTAGGGGTTAAGGGGTTTAGGGTTTAGGGGTTTTGGGTTTAGGGGTTTAGAGTTTAGGGGTTCCGGGTTTATGGGTTTGGGGTTTAAGGGTTAAGGGTACAGGGTTAGGGCTCATGGATTGGACTTGGGTCGTTTTCAGAAGTTAAGGGGGGCTAATGGGGGCTACTACAAATCTCGGCAGTGCTGCTTGAAGCGGGTGTCCCTATACTCCAAAGCCGCGGTTGAAGGGACCTTAAGAACGGCATTGTACGCAGAAACTAGTAGGGAATGTTATCAGTAATTACTTATGCCCCACAAACTAGCTGGTAAAGCAATGGCCCAACATCTATAAACACGCTTTTGTTCTGTATACTCTTGGGCCCTAAACCCTATTAACTTAAACCCTAAACCATCCAGGTTGCCAGAGAGACACTGTGCACGTCCTCTTTCCCTCGCGCCTGTCCGAAAGCACCCTGTGCTCCGGAATCCGCAAAACGACTGCGGTGTAACACAAAAAACGACACCCCTTCCCCCACTCAAAAAGATCTGACAATAATAGATTGGAGAGCCCTAGAAACACCAATCCCTTCACCCTAAACCTAAAGCTGTAAAGCCTTAACCCGGCAGCCTTCATGAAGCCCTCAAACCCTAAACCCTAAACCCTATAATCCCTACCTAAACCCCCCAAAAGTAGGTGAACTAATGGCACAAAACCCATAAAAAGGCTCTTCTTCTACATACTTTTGGGGTCCAGGTAAACCCCATCAACCCCAGGATCTGAAACCTGAAGCCTTCGACCTACCAGTTTTCTGCCCAGGCTCCACTCAGCTGACCCATCGACTGGGCTGCGCTTGCGGGCGTGCCCGTGAGGAGGGGTTGGGGTCAGGGTTTCTTCAGGCTTTGGGGTGAGCTCCAAGCGCGTGAAAGCCTAAGGATTTCGGGGGCTTAGGGTTTTAGGGTATAGGGCTTTTGGGCCTTGATCCCAAATATAGTACGGCACCCCTATAAAACAGCACCCTAGAAGGCACCCTAAATTTGAGAACTACTAGTAACCGAATCCCTAAATCCCAACTCAAACCTGAGTCCTAGAAGCCTCCTCCAGCCCTGGACACCACAATTTTCACAATTACCTACATAGTTTTTGGAGGTTCCTTATTGTATTTATAGTGTGATGCACCCCAAGACCCTATTCTGATTATTAAGGCCCCTACATTAAGCGAAACGGGCAGGTGGGCAAAAGCATGGCAGCGCGATGGCCTCGGCTGACGAAATTCATGGGGCTCTTTGGTTTCGGGTTTGGGTTTGGGGTATATTGTGTCCGTAGGCTCTCATAGGTTTTGCCACATGGTTTTCAGAGGGTTTTGCAGGTTTGTGAGTAATTAAGAAGACAGCATAAGGGTTTGAAGAGCTTGCGGTGTTCGTGGGTCCAGATAGTCCATCCTTGCTGCTGAAGGTTCGCCGGAGGTTACCAGAGCATGATGATGTCTTGTGATCTGTCAACATGTCAATGTCGCTTACACGGACGGAACAGGGTTTTGAGGTTTGGCCTTTCTGGACAGTATGAACAACCGCTGTAAAACTTGCTTCACCACAGTCAGGACTTCTCCCCAACAAATCACCCGCATGTGTACAGAGCTTCCTGCTGAGAGTGACACCCCATAGAGCCCTTTCCCTGTACCTGACACACCCCAGACCCTACCCCAAAACACCTAAATTTTGAGGCTCTGAACCCTAAACCCTAAAACCCTAAACCCTAAACCCTAAACCCTAATCCCCTAAACCCCTAAACCCCTAAACCCCTAAAACCCTAAACCCTTCATGGATCGGGAACCCGGAGACCTTAGACCCTTAACCCTATTCACCAAACCCTCAACGTTACACATACCCCAGACCCTAAACTCCAAACGCACAACCCCAGGCCCTAAACGATAAACACAAAGATTTAAATGCTGGATACTGCATCGTAGAGTCACGGTGATGTTTTCTGCCGCGGCATGTAGGCTAAGCGCTTAAGAAGTTGAGATAAGATATGATCTATACAAAGACACAAAATGTCTTCGGTAGCTAAGACAGATCTGTTAGAAAGATAGACCGGTAGGTGGGTAAATAGGTAGATGGGTAGAGAGGTAGTTCGAGAGCAAGATAGGTAGATAGACAGATGGTAGAGTGATACGGATAGATAGATAGATAGATAGATAGATAGACAGATAGATAGATAGATAGATAGATCGGTGCATAGATAGATAGGTAGGTAGATCGGTAGATAGGTAGACCGATGGATAGATGGTTAGATGGACTGACGGAAAATTATGGATGGATAGGTAGATAGATGGATAGATACATGGATAGTTTAGATCGATGGACAGATAAATGGATAGTTTAGATAGATGGGTCGATAGGTCGATATATGGATAGATAGGTAGATAGTCAGGTGGATAGATTTAGGTGAACTAGACAGGTTGACCGCAAGACGGATAGAGACTGAGAGAGACAGATAGATAGACATGGGTATGATAGGAACCAAACTTAAACCCCTGAACCCTCAACCCGAAACATCTGGAACTGCCGAAGCGAAATCATCGCTCACAGCTTCGTAAATAAATGATGGATCGATTGTTCGGTATCTTTGCCACAAGTTTATTGGGCAAGCGCCCTCTCGTGCTGACGGTCCGTTTGGCGCCTTGTGGTCTGACCATAGACATGATGTCAGGCTGTGTCACATTTGTAGTAACTTTAGGGCTGTCCTGTTCGCAGCCTTCTTTCGGAATCCTTTCTGCTAGGTGGGGGTTTCCGAAAATAGGGGACCCTAATATAGTACCCCAAATAGTAGGATCCTTATTATTAGGACCCCAAAATAAGGTACCCATATTTTCGGAAACTCCCCCTAAACCCTAAACCCTAAACCATCGGAAACTCCCAGGTCACTGAGCTTGACCAAAGACAAGAAGCCTGCAGCGTACACCAGCATAATGAGAAGGCAGGTTCGGCCGCGACCACTTTAAGACTTGAACCTCTAATTAGGGTTTAGGGGTTTAGGGTTTAGGGTTTAGGGTTTCCCTAAACTAGAATTCGAACCATCACCCAGAATGGGGCATGGGATGAACTTGGTCTTCTTGTGAAGCCTCAGATGGCTTCGTACGGGTTTACAGGGCTGCTGCCCCCGAAGCCCCCCAAACCCTGCTCTAATTGGAAAGGCTCCTCCGTGAGGCCGTGAGGCATCGTAGGGGCCCTTGAGCAGCGAGCTGCCGTTTCTCTTGTCCATAATCAACGCAAGCATGGCTCGTCGTATCATACATTCCGATCCCTTACCGCTTCAGGGCCTACTTCTTCAGCATTCCAGGAAAACTACCGGAAAAACATTGAAGCTAAGAAAGGGTAAGGAAAGCTAAGGAAAGCTAAGAAAAAGCT